TGCTGCTGCTGCTGCTTTAGAGTGTATTCTTTGTCCACTTTTGCAGTCTGTGTCTGGTGGCGAGGGAGAAGCTGTCTCCCCACCGGCTGTCTGTCTCCTTTTGTTGCTGCTGTCTGCTGCTGTCTGCTGAGGGGGCTTTATGAGGATATACAGCAGCAGCAGCAGCAGCAGCAGCAGCAGCTGTTGCTGCTGCTGCTGCAGTTGCTGCTGCTGCACTTGCTGCTGATGATGGTGATGCTTGCTGCTGTGAGCTGTCTGTGTTTTCGTCCTCTCCTGGCGCAAACAACGAATCATCATATTGCTGCTGCAGCAGCAGCTGCTGCTGCTGCTGTAGCTGCTGCTGATGCTGCTGTAGCTGCTGCTGCTGCTGCTGCAGCTGCTGGTGCTGCAGCAGCTGCTGCTGTTGTTGCTGCTGCTGCCTCGCTCCAGCAGGAGCTGCACCCGACAGCAGCAAGGCTTCGTCTGCAGCTTGAGGGTCTAGGGGACCCCCTGGGGGGCCCCCAGGGNTGCACCCGACAGCAGCAAGGCTTCGTCTGCAGCTTGAGGGTCTAGGGGACCCCCTGGGGGGCCCCCAGGGGGGCCCCCGAGGGGGCCCCCATGGGGGCCCCCTGGGGGGCCCCCAGGGCTCCATAGTTTGTCTTCTGCTGCTGCCTCTGTTCTGTATCTGTCTCCTTGTGCTGCAGTCTCCTTTGCTGCTTCTAGGGCCCCCTCAGCAGCTGAACCTATTGCTGCTGCTGCTGCTGCTGCTGCAGCAGCAGCAGCAGCAGCAGCAGGAGCAGCAGCAGCAGCAGCACGAGGGGGGCCCCTTTTTGGGTGTATCTGTGTTATATCTTTTTTGAATTTTTTTCGGTTTGTTTGCTGCTGCAGTTGGATTGGGGGAGAAAAAGTTTTTATTTTTTTTTCTATTTTTGCTGCTCCTGCTGCAGCACAACTCAGATATAGGTTCTCCTGCTGCTGCTGCTGCTGCTGCTGCTGCTTCCTCCGCCAACCTGCTGCTGCTGCTGCTGCTGATGATGATGATGATGATGCTCCGAACGAGACTCCTGCGGAGGACAAACCCTGCTGCTGCTGCTGCTGCACCTGCTGCTGCTGCTGCTGCTGCACCTGCTGCTGCTGCACCTGCTTCTGCTGCTGCTGCGCCTTCTGTTGCTGCTGCTGCAATTGTTGCTGCTGCTGCAATTGTTGCTGCTGCATTCGTATGGTTCCTTGCTGGATATGCAAGTGCTCTATTTGCTGCTGCTGCTGCTGCTGCTGTTGCTGCTGCTGCTGCAGCCATTGTTGCTGCGACGGAAGCTGGCTCATAGGCCTCTGCTCTTCCTCCTCCTGCTGCTGCTGCTGCTGCTGCTGCTGCTGCAATGCAGCAGCAGCAGCAGCAGCAGGCGGTGCAGAACCCACAGCAGCAAATTGTTGTGTGGAAAAGCAACTGCTGCTGCTGCTGTTGCTGCTGCTGCTGCTGCTGCTGCTGCTGCTGATGGCCTGCGAGGCTGTTTCTATTTCGCTGCGGAGAGCAGCAAACCGAGCAGCAGCAGAAACCTTCTTGGGGGCCCCCCCTGCTGCTGCCTGGCTGCGTACATGGGGTGTATAGGCAGGGGCCCCCATGGGGTCAGTGTGGGGAGGGGGCCCCTGCGATGCAACCTTGCTGTACCACCTGCTGCTGCTGCTGCTGCTGCTGCTGCTGCTGCTGCTGCTGCTGCTGTGATGTTCTCCCTTCTCTGGGGAGATGCCGCGGTTTGTGATGCAGCAAAAACCTGCAGAGTCTGTCTGCACACCACGGGGTGTATCTGTTGTTGCTGCTGCTGCTGCTGCTGCTGCTGTTGTTGCTGCTGCTGCTGCTGTTGTTGTTGCTGCTGCTGTTGTTGTTGCTGCTGCTGCTGCTGCTGCTGCAGGCAACGCACTGATTGAATTGATGCATGCAAAAGGACGACCCGAAGGCCGCTCCACCCCCCCCCCAAATTGCTGCTGCTGCTGCTGCTGCTGCTGCTGCTGCTGTTGCTGTTGCTGCTGCTGCTCAAGGGAGCGGCTGCGTGCCTGCTGCAGCAGCTGCTGCAGCTGCTGATCTGTGCTGCTGAGGAGGCCCTGTGGGGTGTACAGACAGCCCGCGAGGATGGAGACGACAGCCTGCCGCTCCCGCAGCAGCAGCAGCTGCACTCCTCCTATTCTAATGCCTTGCTGCTGCTGCTGCTGCTGCTGTTCCTGCTGCTGTTCGTGCTGCTGTTGTTGTTGCTGCTGCTGCTGCTGCTGTTCTTGCTGCTGGTGTTGCTGCTGTTGTTGTTGCTGCTGCTGCTGCTGTTCTTGCTGCTGTTGTTGCTGCTGCTGCTGCTCAATTGCAGCTATTAGGAGCTGCAGCAGCAGCAGCAGCGCCTCCTGCTGCTGCTGCTGCAGCAAACCATCTGGGGGCCCAACGAAGAGGCAGCAGGTGATAGGGGGTGACTGTCCCTTTATAGACTCTAATAGAAACGGGCGTAG